CACGGGGAGAGCGAGAGGCGGCGGAAAGCCAGCGCGTCTGTCGCATTTTTAGGGGATCGGAGAAGCCCCTGGAATAAACTTCCCGTGCCGCCCTGGTGAACGCGGGCAGAAACACCGGCGTGCAAAACCTCTGCGGAGTATCACGGGGTGGGAGGCGGAGGTTCCCGCGGACAGTGCTCAGACCTCAGAGGCTACCGCCGAGGGAGACCCTCCGTACGGAGCCTGAGATCCCCCGAGAGGAGCGCGGTGGCTCCGCTCCCACTGCAGATTGCTGCGGCAGGCTGCACGGCTCCGCGGCGGTCCTCTGAGCACGCACTTCGCGTTTTCCTAGGGAGTTCTGCAAGACTTCTCCATCAGAAACACAATTTCCAGTTATGCCCCCAATCCGTACAGAAAAGACGGAAAGTCTACCTCAATAGCAAACACATAAGACGATTTAAAAAATTGATAGTAAGTGCTACTTCCATTGCAGAACTGCTGTCCCACAAAGAGCACTCGCGAGGCACGGCAGGCGGCATGCTGTAAGGGGAGGTGAACAGTCTACTAAGGTTTGAGCAAAATTTCCTGAAGTGCTTGAATCCCATTCCTGCAGGCTATTTAGGCACTTAGGAGCCTAAGTTTAATGGGACTGAAGCTTAGCCATTTCACCTAAATTATTTATGCATTTGTTTAAATGTTAACCTTCAAATTCAGCTTCATTATGAAAGTAATATATAGATCATATTACCCATGCTGAGCATTTTTTCTAAAAATTAACTATATTTTTTCAACTATTTTCACTCCCTAAGTTAATTTAAAAACAACTCTTACTTTGCTTTATTCCTGAGCATGTAGGGCATTGTATAAATAATACATAACTGAAATAAATGACATGAAAACGATGGAAAACTGAACCCACCTCTACACTGTAAAAGGAGCCTCACAGTGACACTTGCTACTACGACGTCAGTCAAGGATCTGCTGCAGTTTTATTAGATATTTTTTCACCTGGAAGTTTACGTCTCTACCTTAATCTAGAACCCGATTGTACGCCTGAAACTTGGCGTACAAGTTATCCCTGGAAATAAGTGAGAAGCCACACCTCTTATCTTTCAAAATAGAATTCCCCCAAATTCAAGAGTAGAAACTTAATCAGGAGCTGAAGACAGACATTCTGCTGAATTCAGGACTTAACTGGATACGACTTTGATGCTGAACTGAATATGGGTAGGACGTGGAGGTGCTAAGGTCTGCACAGAGCCCGCGAGTGAGCTCAGACACAAGCTGCTTCTGGCTCAGGTTCTCACTGAGGTCTTGGCCTGTTCACGCCATGGTTCCACTCCTGCCTCCTGAGATTTAGCCTGGAGAAGCTGCTCCTTTGTCACTGGGCTGAGCTGGAGAGGGTCTGTTCATCCCTCCTTTATTCCCACACACACCATTTTTTTGCCCACCCTGCAGGACAAAATGTTTCTTGACACACAGGAGCATAAGCCCGCACTCAAAGCTCATCGGCTGATCCACTGCTGCTGGGAAGGATTGATGTGACTGGTTTCAGGAGAGAGCAGTTGTGAGGATGGCCAACGAATCCTAGCAAGGTGTTAATGGCTTTTTTGGGGTGCCTGTCTGCCTCTTTCTCTCTCTTTCCTCACTATCTTTCTACCTCAGCCAATAAGTCACCTGTAATTCACTGCAAATATTTTTGAATTCGCTTTTAAACCACCTTGTTTAAACACAGAGGCACAAATAACAATACTAGGTTAAAATAATAGTGTTTCGAACTGAAAGCAAAAATTCAGAAGTTACACCTAATGTCTTGTATTTCTTCTTTAATAATAAACGCAGTTTTACTCAGCTGGTATTTGAAAACAATTCTTCAACTACCAGTCTCTTAAGTCTAAAAATAGAGCCTATAAGGCCTATGTCCTGTCTATTTCTCGCCAGGTTTGTGTTTAAGATTCTGCCTTCAAAACTGTGATCCTAAGGAAGCACTCAAAGACCTTTCTCTCCTGAACTGAGTTACCTGTAGGAGGAAATGTTTTCTGTAAATGAGGCTAGTTCAGATGGACTGACTGCCTCTTTAAGGTACAGAGATTTGTTCTGAGCGGAGCAGGCTGGAGCTTGGTAATTCCTCAAGCGTGGGTGTCTGCCTGGGGTGCACCAGGCTCCTGGCAAGGCCGTGAAAGCTCGAGGGATGCAGAAGTGACAGAAGTCACTTGTGGCCCAAGAATTTCTCGGTGGAATGGCTGACAGCAGGACTGGGGAAGAGCTGCCAGTAACAGCTCTGCCAGAAGCCTCTGGGTCAGAGGGAAAAGAGATTTGGATTCCCATCAAACTGGTTTATTTCAGGGTTTGCTGAAAACAGCAGTAAATGAAACCTGGAGGTAAAGGGCCTGATCCAGGCTGTGTGTATGATGCCAGCCCTTTCTGGGATAGGGAGAGAGGCCAGCAGCTCATAGAGGCCTTAGCTGGTCACTCTACTGGCAATGGTGCATGAAGCAGAGGAGAAAACAAGTCCCTTTGCCTCAGCTTTATTGGTTCTGGAGTGCTGTCGGTAGTAAAAATGTGTTTTTTCAGTAGACAAAGCAAATACAACCTTCAAGGCACACAGGAAGCCAAATGTGGGCAGGAGAAAGATGCCACTTCTGCAGGGTCACATCCCTGATGAGGAGAGAAGAGGTATGCAGCCTGCACTGCTCTGCTTAGGACTCCGGAGGCACAGCTCTGAAAACACATTATGTAAGGATCTGATTTCAGTCCATAACAGCAAGGATGCACAGAAAGAATTTAGAATAGATTTGTTTCCCATTAAATCTACTAACAGAAAAAGGCCTGACCTACTTCACCCAACCCAGTGCTCAGGGACATCCCACTGAATTCAGCCCACCGTGTCAAATCGGTCTGGCCTATGAGCAATGGTCTCAAGCTCGATGCACGCACCACTCAAACACAGAGGGACTCTCACAGAAAGTAATAAACAGCTACAAAACTGGGATGAGGAAGAACTATGCCAGGTGTGCTCGAAAGAGCCATGCCTTCCTTAGGAGTGGAGGCTTCCTTACAAGTATTCTTGTTTCCCTTACACTTAAAGATTATTTAAATCATGATCTCATTCATGATCTCATTGCCTTTTACTTCTTATTTTTAAAAATCCATTGGCATGAAACAATGTTTGTTAAAGAAAGGAAAACCAACAGCATAACCAAATGAGTTCTCTGCCCAGCTCTCATGCAAATTTCTCGCATGGCTTTGGGCAATAAATGTCATAGCTTTGTGCTTTCCTTATTTGTAGAGCAGGAATGCTAATCCTTGCCTCTTTCACGGAGATGTTGGAGAGTTTGATTAGATGCTACCAGTAAATCTGCATCAATGCAGAGGGAAGAGTCCAGTGTTTTACTAAAATCATAGAGGAAACCTGTGATTGATAGAGCAGGCAACTGAATTAAAATAACTTAAATTTTAGTCCTAGGTCCTCGTGAGCTGCTAGACCAGCTCCCTCTTCCTTGGTCGCACCCCTATAAATTTTGTAAGAAACTCCTTATGGATTAATTTTCTACCCTTTTTTAAATTGTGAATCCCTAAAGAATTTCTAAAGGAGATGCACAGCTTTCAGATGTTTTACGTAGTTCACCCATGCCATATGACAATCTACCCAATCTACATTATTAGCTATCAAAGGTCATGTATGACCTCACCCAGGAACCCATGCACCACAGGTAGAAAATAACTACTCTACTGCTTTCAAGCTACATTCTTCAGTCTGGAAAGATTCAGGGAGATCTTGCTGGACCTTTGAAATGTGGTGCTGCGTTTCAAGGTACCTCATCCATTTCCCTGCCCCTTTCCTGATTCACAGAAAGGGCCACAGAATAAGGGCTGTGTTAACG